TGTGACACATATTGTTCATGTGCATATACAAATATTCAATAGCTTAATAACTTCTACATAAATACAAATAAAACGAGAGGTGTACACTTTTCTCTCTACACCCATCAAACTTCTGTCTCAGCCATAAAAAAATTGTTCATAACAATTTTTTATGTAATACCTAGCATTTCATGGAACGAACATGAGCACAGAGATCAGCAGAAAATATAACAGAAGAAAAAACAACAAAAAACCTATAACGAGCGAACGAACGAATACAGAAAAACAAGCGCCGAGAAATCCAAATGATGTGTAAAATGGATTAGATTTCATAAAACTCATATCATTTCCGCTTTTTTGGTCCCAGTTAAATGTCGAGAGTGTGAATGGCAATAAAAACACTCGCATCATACTTCGGCGAACAACATTGGCTCCCCCACAAATGTAATTAAATTGGGTGGGTAACAGGTTCTACGTGGTTGTACACACATGAACTTCTGTCTGCCTGGGTGTGTGGAGAGGGTGGTTATCAATTGCAGAGAATACTTAAATGTTTTAGCGCTCTGTTTAGAGGTCTTCTTTTTTCCTTGTTCTTTTGCTGCATATAATCTTTAATGTATATGTGGGTGTAAGGTTGCTTTAGTATTGCTATGATAACTTTTTAATATGTTTTATCTGCTAATAAAATTAAATTTTTTATTGTTTATGTTATGTGTGTTTGTAGGATGTGCACTGCTTACATATATAGATCAGGTGTTTCTAAACAAAATTTATTTATGCCCGCAGGTAACAAATTTCGTAAGAGAATTACAACTCTTGGTCATGAAAAACTTGCTCATGTGAGAAAAGAAATAACCATAAAAATTAAAAATTCATTGGAGAGTAATTTTGATGGATTATAATGGGGAACAAAATGCACTTAAGTCAATTTAGAAAAATTTATTTGTTGTATTTTCACAAACATTTAAATTAGAATAAAGTTCAACATTATGGCTTTAAATTTTGCGTAAAATTAAGTTGAAAATTGCACTTTAAATATTTAATGAAATATTTTAAAAGTTTATTGTTATATATATTTTTTTTTGAGGCGTATATATATGGCAATGCATTTTACACATAAAAAACGTAATGTCATAAGATAACGAAAATCTCAAGCAATTTACTACAGTTTTCATAAATACGTAGCTAATTATGGGTTATTAAGATTCAATTTACCCCAATTACTAAATCTTGAATGAGAAGAACTTTAGGCCATTAAAAATGTTTCCATAAATATAAAATAAAAATCAATTTAACACAAAATTTTGTTAAAAATTACAATTCATAGTTTAATAAAGATTTTTTAAAAACTCCATTGATAAAATTGTTATTTTTTATTTGAGTCAAGCCTACGAGAGAACTATTAGTTTGCAGAATATTTTACTCTAAAACTGAACGTCCTAAATTATTTATATCTTCTCGAATTCAATTGCTTTGAATATATACAGTTTTTCAAATAAGATGCAATGTTGAACGCCAAGGCCTCCAGCAAGTTTTTTAAATTGCTTTATTTTACTCCTTAAAGCTACATTAACTAGTCATACTGGATAAATTAGTAAAAATTATCAAAACCATTTGTATTTTCTCATAAAATTTTATTAGTGTTTAAGGCGCGTTAAGCATTCTGGTAATGTAAATGTCTTAAATACAAGATTTCCTACAAATTTTTCGCATCCAATTCGAGAAAAAATAAGTTTTGGTTTCAATAACACTCCGTTCTTGCACCTGCAAGAATCTACTATTTTCATACCCTCCACCATAGTATAGAGGGTATATTAGATTTATCAATCAGTTTGTAACACCTCGAAATATACATTTTAGACCCCACAAAGAATATATATTCTTGATCACCATAAAATTCTATGTCGATTTAGCGATGTCCGTCCGTCCGTGGAAACCACTCTAGAACGAAATGAAGTTGATTGATAAAATTTTACTCAAATGTATATTATGTACGTAGGACTTTTGGTATTGAAAACGGACCATGTAGGTTCACGTAGGTCCACATTTTGGTATAGTCCCCATATAACGGTACCTCACGATATTCGGTACTTTGTTGATTTTAGCGACATTATTCACAGGAATAGCTTCAAATTTGGTATTTGAAGTTCGTAATAAATACCACAGCCTATGACAAAAATTGTTCATGCAGGTCCACATTTTGGTATAGCCCGCATATAATAGTACCTCCCTATATTGATGACTTTAGCTACATTATTCACCAATTATTTTTAAGTTTCGAATTTGAATATTGTAATGGCTTATGACAAAAGTTGCCTATGCAGTTCCATGTCATCGTTTAGACCCTAATATAACAGCTACATTCGGTATTTTTCAGATTTTAACAGCATTTTTAACGGATTTTATTTTTTTGAAAATTGCCAAATTCGTCCTAAGTGGCGGAGGGTATTCAAAGTTCGACCTCGCCCAACTTACGGCTTGTTTACTTGTTATTGGACTATTATTATTATTATTAATATCAGCCCGAATAGTGTGGAATTTTGCACATACAACCAAATCAGGCCTGAAAATAAGTATGACAAATTTGATCGGAATCGGTTCAGATATATCGGTAGCTCCAACATATATATTGTTCATCCGATTTGTTATTTTTGCCCTCCGCAGCCGTAATATGCACTCTGTAACAACAATAATTGAGGAAATATATCAAATGCACCTCAGAAATACCTTTGCTAAATTTCATACAGATCGGTTCAGATTTGGATATAGCTCCCCTATATAACTTCGTCCGATTTACATTTTATTGTGCACCAAACGTCTAATATTTTGCCCAAATGGGTTGGAATTTGGCACTTACGACCGAACTGAGTCTTAAGCCTAGTATGCCAAATTCGGTTCAGATATAGCTACAGCTCCCATATATATTGTTCATTCGATTTGTTGTTTTTGTTACCCACAGCCGTAATATCAACGATATTCAGGAAAATATATCAAATACAGCTCAGAAATATCTTTGCCCAATTTTATCGAGATCGGTTCAGATTTGAATATAGTTCCCATATAAATCTTCATCTGATTTCAAATTATTTGTGCACCAAATGGACAATACAAGTCCGAATTTAAAAGATACAAATGCTTCGACATATTTAGTCCTTTAAACTTTAAATTATAATTATAATCATAGCGTGTATGATCGAATTCTCCCATAAAAACTTTTAACTGTTATGTGGAGCTCTATTAAATTAGCACAGTGGTGTGGGATATCATAAAGACGGCCCCACCCAACTTTAGGACTTTCTTACTGGTCCTTTTGCAGATCTGGGTGACTTTTAGGATCCTTAATTTTTGCTTAAGTTTTGGTTTCCTATCCCAGTTTTCTAATACCAGACATAATTTTTGAGGTAAATATCCCAAATGTTTTCCAATTAATATTGAAGTAGTTTAATTAAATTTAAAGTTCATTTCAAAATTCAAAGTATTAGCTTTGATTCAAAAACAAATAATTCATAATGCCAAATCCCAAAAAAAAAAAAAAAATAGTACTTGTTTTCCATGTGATACACAATATAAAAGAAAAAGTTAAAACAAGTTTGCAAAAAACATGACATCCTCCATAAAATGTATATTCAAATCTGCCAACTTCCTGGGATATTTTACGTATTATTGTTAAATATTTTAATAATCTTATACTCAAAGCTTCGTGATTCAGATGTTTTTTTAACAACCAAATAATTTTTTTAGACTTTAAAAATTCTACATATTCTTGATTATTGTAAAATTTTTAGTCAAATGACATGTTTTTGTAGCCAATATATAGTAGACAATATATTTTGTAGCCAATATATAATTTTTGATATGATTTACTAGTTCAAGAAAAATTTAGGGTCAAAAATCAACATTCCTGTTTTGTTATCTTCGCTTAATTAATTTTATTTCTGAGTATTTTTGTAATTAATTGAAAGTTTTAAAATTAAAAGTAAAACAAAAATATTAAAAATGTGTGATTCATATACAGTGAATCAACACACAGATACAGGAGAAAAAGTGTTACGGAACAACTTCATTAAACATAAAGAATTGTTAACTAATTGGATCAAAGTGAACTTTCAAGTATAAATATATAGGCAGAAAGAGAACACTCTCAATTATCATTTGCGTAATATTCCAATAGACTTTAGTATTTTGGCATTTAGAAGTTGTAGTCCACAAAAATTTTGTTTTGACTTAAATATAGCATCTGAGTCCAAAGATTATTATCAACTTATTAGTATTTGGTGATTGAAAAACAATATTTTTTATAAAGTTTTTTTTCATAAACTGATCTACTTTAGCTTTGCATTTGCAAGCAGTCTCCTCAAGAAAGAAGGCATAGTTGTAATTCTAGCTGTGAGCGATTTATGTAACTGTAAAGTGTTCAAAAGCTATGAATAAAAATACTGATAATAACATTTTTGTGGCATGTATTCAATCTCTTTGGTGTCATGATTTTTGCTACAGATACACTTATTTATAATCACATGCGTTTTTTGCTAAGACTCGATAATTAGGATGAATTAAATTCAAAAATTATGATAATCTAGATAGGTAGTACAGCTCATATATAGAAAGAACTCATTCCAAACAAATAATTTAAATTGGAATTTAAAATAAGTTTTTTTTTCAAAATTCCTAATAGTGTTTTACTTAATTAGAGCAAAACCAAAAAACAACCAAAAAAAAAAAAAAAAAAAAAAAAAAAAAAAAAAAATATATATATATATATATATATATATATATATATATATATATATATATATATATATATATATATTTATATATACATATATATATATATATATATATATATATATATATATATATATATATATTTTAAGAAATAAATTAGCTTCTAACAGAAGTTTTTTTGTTTTTCTCAACTTAGAAAAATTTTCAATATTATTCCCTATTTTACTTTCCACATTTTTCTACAAATCCATCCCAATCTATCTTATTTCAGAGTATTTTATTAGCAAAAATAATTAAAAAACTACCACAAACCCATTCTACATTTTTTGATAAAATTTAAAAATCAAAAACCAAAAATCGTTTTTTCATCTTAATTCATTGGTCTGTGATAAGTGAATGTCAAGCTAATCAAATTTGTTAAAACAAAAAAACACTTCGTTAATTAAACTCTAACAAAAAATTAAAATCCCAAAAAAAGAAAAACTTAAGTGCGGTTCCAGTTAAATTTCCAAATTTTTCAAAAATTCTAACCGATAAGTGAAAATTCCAAATCAACAAACAACAAATTGTAGCCAAAATAATTAACCAAAAATACAGCAAATAATCAGCCAAAGTGAAGTAGCTGGTATTCAAAGCAAATTGAGACCGTAAACCAACTCAACATAGGAAAAACACATTTTTACCAAATATTTAAATAAATACAAAACACCAAAAACCGCATTGCAAAAAAAACTATTACAAACACATTTACACATATTGGTATGTTGATAAACCCTGAACTCTCTCGACAAGAACAACAAACACATTTTAATTAACTGCCCAAGTAAAAGTGCAAATTATCCAAAAACAAACCAAAATAATTCGGGGCAAAAGTTTATTTAAACTTTAATTTTTCCAAAAACAACAACAACTACTACAACAAAACTTAAAATTTATTTTGAAACACAGCACAACGATAATATCGTGTATTCGCATACATACGTCCATCCTGTCCAGCCGTAACATTTCGGGTTGGGTATACACAAATAATTTTATTGCCATCGACGCGAGCACTTACCACTTTGTAAAACCACAACATCCAGCGTGTACGGCCAGTAGTAGTCACAAGCGAAAGGGACACGTGTAACTTCGGCACACACAACCACCCGCTCGCCTGATATTCCACAGTCATCAACAATAAAACATACATGTTGATCGCCTAGACTAGACCAGACCAGACCAAACCGAACCGAACCATTTCACATTAACCAAAAGCATAACATAGCGGCGGCATACTAGTCATCATACGGCCTTAGCCACCAACACACAAGTAGCAACAACAATTCAGCCAGCCAGCCAGCATAGCCATTATACTGGCAGCTTTAACCGGCAAGAGGATATACATTTAATCCGTGTGGAAATATCTAGTATATGACATACCTGGAACACATTAACATACGTGAACATTAAAGTACTCACTTTGATTGTATGCAAAAAAGCCCAAACAAAAAAAAAAAAACTTAGACAACACATACACACGAACTTGTGCACGACAAAGAGAACAAAGCGTTGTTGTATTCAGTACTGTAACCTGACCGCAAAACATCAAAAGCATTACAAACTAAAAGGCAACAACAGCAAAAGCAACAGAAACAGAAACCAGGCATTGTAGCATAGCATCCTCGTCATCACCGTCACCGTCATCATCAACAGCAGTAGCAGCAGCAGCCGGATTTCATTCATCTCTGCTAAACAAAGCTTATACATCCGCCATTCAAGTGAATCTATTGAGATAGACACACACACACACATACGCGTACATACATACCAATAAAACCATAGAGGCAGTGATACAAACAGAGAGAGGCCACACATAAATACACCTGGTCTAACTTCGTAATAGTGTGAATAATCATCATCACCACCCATAAACGAATCAAACACGACAACTTAGTGACGAAGAGAGTGATAGAGTGAGAGAGAGAGAGAGAGAGTGCAAGCAAATCATCGAGCATCGAAAAGAAAACAACAAAGAAACTAAACCCTTTGCTAACCACCAAGTAAACGAGCTCAAACGCAAAGCAAAAATGTTGGCAATGCCCACACTGATGATGCCAGCCACAGCACAAATGACGCTTAGCAGTCAACCACTATCAGTTGGTGCTCCACACGCTAAACCGTACGAGACTAAATTACTGGCCATACATCAGACGCATATTACTGCCCAACAACAGCAGCAGCAACAACAGCAATCACATCAGCAGGCTAGCAATACCAAGCAGCAACAGCAGCAGCAACAACAACAGATGTCGGCCAATAGTCAACAACAGCAGCAACAACAAGCCGCCGCTGCTGTAGCTCAACAACAGGCCGTGCAACAACAGCAACAGGCTGCCCAACAACATCAACAGCAGCAACAACAGGCCGCAGCTGCTGCCGCGGCAGCCGCATGTATTGCTCAACAGCAGGCTGTTGCAGTGGCCGCTGCTGCTGCCCAACAGCAACAATATCAAATACATTCGCAACAACAATCACCACAGCAGACATTGAGTGCATCGCCCAAACAAGGTAAGTCAAAATGAGAGAGGGAAAGTGAGAGATACGCTCTGTATAATTGTATTCGAATGTCAGTGCAATGGTAATTCTTTGAAGGGATCATTGGCTGATAGTGCTCGGGAGCGTATGCTTCATGTGTGATTCATTTTCGATGTTGCTTATACGCCACTAAAAGACATTTGTTATAATTGATCATTAATTCATTGAGAATCTTTAAATAGCAATAGCAAATAATATTAAAACAAATTGTAAACATTTGAAATATTTTAAACTATAGGAAAATTTAGAGGTTATTCTATAGTTCTGACTAATAGAATTTATTGCAGGTTCAAAAGTTCAATCATTTAAAACTTTACAAATAGTTTGCAAAAATAATTATGCAAAGGCAATATTCGGGCAAAATAATTTAACTAGATTGAAAGAATACCTCAAAGTAATGAGGTACATATATCTACTATTTAATTCGTTCTTAAGTCTTTGTTTGTTAGGGACTTCCAGTTTAACGCTCTCGTCGCATTATTACGTTTCTACACTCGAATATTCCTCATAGATCTGAAATTAATATTTTCCAAAAAAAAGTTATCTAGAAGGGCATTCCACGTATTCGATGCATATGCCTATTTTTGGTTCATTTCATTTTTGAAATAATGTCACATATTAGTTCGAAAGGGTGTTTGTTTTTTGCCTGGAACAACGAGACCATTTCAAATTTCATGGCATTTTTCCTATATTTACGAACTCTGTTGTGCTAAAGGAAACTTAAAGAATTACCTGAATGATGAGATTCCTCTATTTATTTCTCTGTATCTCCGATAACAGGCAATAAACGTTAATGAATTAATCATCAATGTAAAGGTCAGAATTGTCCCTTATTATTTTTTTATTTCCATGGAAAGTGACTTTAAATATTCAAAATATTTCCATATGAAAAGAAATTGTTATATTTTTTACAAAAAGGTATTGCTCTTTTCACCCGCTAAATAATAACTAACCATAATTAAGGGCTTCGGTACAGTCCTAAAGTCTAGCCCCACATCGGCAAAACTAGATTTTTATATTCATTTTATTCCCGAGCATCTCCAAGAACAATAGGCTTCTATTCTGTGCGGAGTTGTGACAACGTAGTTCATAGTTTAGTACACCAGGGGGCTACCATGTAACTCCATTCGAAAGTTCTATTCAATCCGAATTTAAACTCTTACTGTGTTACAGTTTCAGATAGAGTAAAAAGTACTGTAACTATATGTATTTATTTTGGCAGTACTTTTTAGTGTATTATTCACAATTGGCAATATTTATTTCTTAAAATCTCAAAAATATAAAATAAATAAACCAAGAAATATTTACGCTTCACAAGTTTCTGAAAATTGATTCAGTTGCTCTTTAGTTGCAATTTTATTGTTTACGGTAAATTTCTTGCGCTTTCTTCAAGGGCGGTGAATGAACAAATTTTTGCCTGCCAAAGGTTCGTTCGCAATGTATACCGCCTACTTTCCCCATTGGTTGCCCGGATGCATTTAGGCCTTTTACCAATTTTGAAATTGGAAAGAAGGGTATATTAAATTTATCTTTCCATTTGTAACACCTCCTAATATATGTCATAGAACCCATAAAATTTTAAGTCGATTCAAATATATCTTTCTGACGATACAGCCCACATTATTTGAGTTCTGGACGATTAAAAAAGCGGTTCTGGACGATTTAAACATTATTAATCACAATTTCCAACTGAAAACGCCGTAACTGGACAAATCCTGCCATAATCGCTGAATTAAATCCAGCTTTTTAAATTGATTCTATCAGCATTTTTTAAACTGAATGGAATGGTTGCATTTTGCAAACATACCACATTTTCAAGATTTTTTTTATTCTCCCATTCAAATTGAAAATAGCGGAATTAACCATAATTATGTGAATATGTAATTTTATGGAGATTTTATAAAGTTATATTTAGTTATTTTTAGAATATCAAATTACTAATCATCGAACAATACCAAAAATTTCTAGTCATCAAAAAATTCTTAGATTCGAAGTGGTATCGGTCGATGGACAATAAACTTTAATTATTTTGGTCTCCATAAACACTTCAAAAGGTTACTATATCGACTCCAAATTTGAAGCTAATCGCAAAATGCAAGATCTCTCATACGGATAGAGACAATTTAGTATCAGTCAGTAATTTCAGTTGTCAGATACATACCCTCATATCTATCATAGATTTTTCGGTAGAACTAAAATTTACTCTCTAATGAAAGTCTCTTAAAGATCAGAAATCTTAGAAATGTCATCTAAAAGTAGAGGAGGTTTTGCCTTCTTAAAAAAATTATTATCTTCCGTGGAACATGCATGAACTAAATACCAATCGCAGTTCTTTAACAAGGCTGCTTTCGGGGGTCTGAATGAAGTTTCTTTCCAGATAATATGGGTGGACTTTATCCGGTTTCCCTATGGATAAGAGTCTTAGTACTATTACAAATACCCATCAGGGGTCCTACGCGGATTAACGGCCATTTAAAGGACTTGCGTTTATGTAATATGCTCCAGAAATCTTCGATATATAAATTATTTAATAAATTTTAATTAGTTTATAGAGACAACATATTCTAGATATTCTACAGACAAAAGAGCTTTTATTGGTCATCTATGTACAAACGTTTTTTTCATGGTCTTCTATAGATAAACGTCGTTTTAGGTGATGTATGGTAGGAAGTCGTTGGTGGATAAAATACCCTTTAGAGGTCTTCTATAGAGAGAAGTCTTTTCATCAATTCTAATTCTGTTTACAGCTTTGATTATTTATGAATCCTCTAAGCAAACACTTTGCATCACTTCTCTTTTCACAAAACGCCTATTTATGAATTCTGCGATTCGGGGGACTCTAAAATATGGCCAGTGGTGAAGCCTTTTTACACCCTCAGTCATATGGCTATCATTTGATACGGTTAAATGTTGAAACAACGGTTTTAGACCCTAGGTCTCTTTGTTCCATATCAGTTTCATACCATTTGCAGTCGATCTAGCGATGTCCGTCCGTCCGTCTGTCTGTCTGGCTCGATAAAAAATCTAATCCTAATATTTCAGTTATATCAGTTCTACGACAGGTGTGAAAATGGATAATATCGGTCCACTCCATCAAGTACCTCCGATTGTCTTCAAATTTCACGCATGCCAATAATTTTATTAGCTCAAGGTCTGGTGTCTACCAAACAAAACGTCAAAATTTTCAAAAATAAAAATCAAATGCCTCTCCCACAAAGGTTCAAAATTTTGAATAACTATAACTCTTATAAAAAATATGATGTTAGATTCCGATAGTCTTCAAATTTCACACATCCTACTATTTTTATGAACCCAACATATTGTAGTTAGACGGAATATATCGGTCCACCCGATATCCCCGATTCCATTTAGATTTGGCACATCTGAATATCTCTATCAACACAGCATCTGTAATAAAGACGGTAGAGATCGGACCATTCCTTCTGGTACTCCCTCACAAAGAGTCAAAGTTTCGAATAACCAAAACATTTATAAACCCCGAAATAAGCATCAGGTTCTCTTTACATTTCACACATGCAAACATTTTTGCTGACACAAGGTCTGTTGTGAAGATCTATATATCTGCGAACCCCTTCTGGTACCTCACCCACAAAGGGTCACAATATGTCTCTCAACCCGAATCCTGAGATAAATATAGAATTTATGATTGCCCATAAATTGGATATAAATGTTCGATTTTCTTAAAATTTTGGCCATACCAATATTTTCTGCATATGTTAACATTTTCTAAAAAGTGTTACATATCTCATGTAAAGTGAAGGAAGTTACCAATATAGTCCAAACCTGGCACTTCGCAATATTTATATTATCAGGCATGTCACAGAATGTAAAATCGTTCAAGAGTGAAAACGAAAACGGTTTTAGCTTCTCTAAAAAACGGAAATCGCAAAAATTTTGCGTTTTGATATCACTTTCAAAAAGCAGGGTGAAATTGAAATGTTTAGTGATTTTAACGTAAAAAATAAACAGAAGACACATACATTTTACAGAAAATATTGTATTAACCAAATTCTCTTAGAATGAACATGTTTTTGGAATTTATTTTACAAAAAATCTATTATTTTTCTAATCCATGATGAAAAATAATAAAAAGGACTTGCGAGGAACTGGTGGTGGTGATATCAATCAATATGTTTTCAGTGAACACGAGAACAGTTTAATCAGAATTTGCGGATTGTATAAAAGTGTCGATGGAGTTGGTGGTGCAGTAAGCTTTGCGGATTTTGTAAGTGAATTAGACCTCAGTTGTTCTGAAAAAGAAAACTTTGATTCGTCATCATCTACACATATTCCAAGAACTCGAAAATCAATTCAATTAGTTTTAAGTGAATCTGAAAACGAAGAGCTTAATTTTTCACCCTCAACTTCAAAGCAGACCACTTCGATTTTAAATAAAAAAGATAGACCAAGATCATGCATTCCAGCTGCTTTTAAAAATGTTTCTACATTGGCAATTGATCCAAGAACACCAACATTGGAAGAAAACCGTTCGCGAACACCTATTCAAAAACGACTTAGAAATAAAAGCTTATCGTGTTCTCCGCCATCTACACCAATAAGACAAGTGTCGGGCAGCCTAACAAAAGCAAAACCCACGCCTGCAGTAAAAAGACCCCGGGCAAGAACTCCCTCAAAGCAAGATCTAAATGCGCTTTTAGTTGAGGAAAATTCTCATTTACAAAACTTGGAAAAAATTTGTAAAATTCTAGAAGATAACAGTAAGGAAATGAAAAAACAAACTGAAAAGTTGGACAGACTTTGTAACATCCTGGAAAAAAAGTATGTGGAAGAGCAGTTACATAATATTGAAATGCAAAAGAGAATGCGTGAACGGAACGAAATGAAACTCAAAATAGTTGAACTTGAAACTCTTAAATATGCTGTAGAACAGGAAAAAGCAAATACGACTCGTTCTTAACTTTACATTATTTTACACAATGGACTAAAAATTG